TATTGTTTATTAAAATCAAGATCCATACGTTACATGCAAGTAGAGTATATGAGATAATAGATTATTAAGTAATTTTGAATATTTATTTTCTAGAAATACATATTTATAGAACCTGGAGCCTTTTTAGAGGTTCTCAGTAGGTACTCTTTTGAGCTTCCACATGGAAAAAACGGCAATAAGTAACAATTTTTAGTATCAAAGGAGGGCAATAGCCAATGTAATGTTATATCTATATATATGAATTAAAGCTTACATTGGTTCTCCAAATTCAACAAAACTTGTAGGTTTAATCTAGGCTAAAAATTTCGACTCGGGATTTTAATTCAATTTTATTATCCAATTATAAACGTTTAGCATAATACAGACAGGCTTGATATACTGGGTGTCGTAAACGTATTCATTAAATATTTCGGAAAGGACGCATTATTTCGCTTTGGAAAAAAGTATACTATGTATGTACATCAACACTGTAGATTCAATACATTAAAACTATTTTCAACCCCCAAAAATTACCTCTTGAGGTTTTTTTGTGATGGTACTACATCTATTTCAATATTTTTTAAATGGGAAGAATATGTTTTAATTTAGGATTCAAATTCTACGCAAAGAAATAAGATATTTTTACTCTTGTTATTTTTTTCAAATCCCTTTAAATTGTTTAGTTATAGAAGGTTTTCTACAAATTTTGAACTTCACAAAATGCAGTATAATTCCGGCACTAACTTAGATAATTAACTTCTAAAAAAAGATTCGAAAAATGCATGTCAAGAATTTCTAATGTAGGGCTCGGAATTATTTCATCTTTTCTGGCCGATTCTAGTGGTATACGCCTCCTTTCTTCTCCTTATCGCGCGCGCGGCAGCCGCTAGGGCCAACGCCGTCGAGCGTTAGAAGCGGCGCTATCCGATTAATGTTAAAAAATTTATTAAAAATATTTTTTTCCTCAATAGCAATAGTACCTCATCGGTGACGTGGAAATCTATTGAAATATTTCCACATAATAAATTTAAAAATAAAAAGTATTTTAATAAA